CTTTCTTTGTTGCATAATTTTCAAACTGTGCCACTTGTCGCCGCATTGCCACGAAGTTGAGTAACGTAAGGCGCGCGACTGCTTTTGCCGCCTGGCAGAATATCCTCTTTGTTTAAACACATTTGTATACAGTCCATACGCGCAGTTGGAACATTGCTGGGTTTCCGCGCACTTGTTTGGTGTGAGGATGAATTAACAGGTTTGGCGCTTTGGGTAGCTCCAGTGTTGGTTGACCGATTTCTTGAATTAGTATGGGAAACCACGCTCTGGCCGCCAGTAGGGCGCACCAAAGTGAGTTGTAGGCTCTGTGTTTGTCTGATTTTCTGTAATACTTGAGGTATTATTGCTGGCGGCGGAAACGCTGCACGCATTGAGGCCTTCCCATGATAGACTTAGAGCCGCCCGCTGCCCAAGCTTGGGGTCTGGGACTGGTGACACGTAATGTCGGTAGCTGATTGTTGAATCGCTGCGGGCTTAATAGGTCTATTAGCGGCCCTCCCTAATTGCTTGATTATCTGTGCAAAATTTCCCGGTTGATCATCCACTCTGTCGGTGATGGTAGATGAGGCCGAGAGAGAGCCGCCTGCTAGTATATTTCTGGCTCCGGAATGTGCACTGCTTTGACATGTAGATTTAGATCTTGTATTAAATCGAACAGTTGAAAGCTTAGGTTCAAAAGGTTCATCGATCTCGCTGAGCCTTGCTTGTTTATGTAGAACGCCACTGTCGAATTGTCTGTATGGATCATTAGGCCGCATTTTGTAGAAATGTGCTCCAATGTAGAATGGCGCTGATTACAGCTTTCATTTCTAGACTGTTTATATGGAGTTTGCATTCTTGCTGATTCCATAACCCTGATATCGTGGTGGTTGGTGAGATGAGCTCCCCAACCTTGGAGTGACGCTGCCTACATACAGATGGGTTTTGTATTCCTGCTCTGCTAAACAAATCCCTTCGCAGAGATTCATTCGATTTCTTGGTCCACCATAGTAGATGTGGTCTGAGATGTTTCGTAGACTGAATGGTTGTACATCGCTGAGATGTGCGCTGATGAGGACCTGTAGGGGACGAAACTGTAATCTGCCTGTGACAGTCATGTCTTGGGCTGATGTGAGAAGACCTAGTAGGCTCTGCCATTGTCGCAGTGGTAACGGAGAGAGTAGAGCTGGTGGAATGGTCTGTTGTATCTTGAGCCAACGGTCTTCTGGTACCATAATACGGTTGCGATTTGTGATGAATCGAATACCTAGGAACTGTAGGTCTTGGCGATGGTACTAGGTCCGACTTTATGTAAGTTTACTAACCAACCTAGTTGTGTTAGTAGCTTTATGATGTAATTTAACTGTAGTTTGAGACGAGTGGATCTTGATCTACTTGTATCCCGTCCGCCGAGGTAAAACGCGACTGCGAGCCCTTGACGATGTAGAAATTTGATAATCGGTTTCGCTATCCTCGTGAATAGCCAGGGGCTGATGATATTCCTCAATGGGAGTACTTTCCACTGGTAATGTAGCCCTTCTAGAGTAAATCGTAGGTATTTCCTGGAATCGGGATGAATGGGGATGCAAGTAGGCATCCTGTAGATCTATGCTGCCCATGTAGTCCATAGGACTAATCATCTGGCGAATCTGAGGTAAATGTATCATGCTAAACTTCGGTGGTTTGCGAGATAGTTCTTGTTGAAAAGCTCATGTTGTAGATGAGTCTGTATTTCTCCGCGGAGTTTTTCTTGGGAACTAGGAAAACTGGGGAGTAGAAACCTGGTCTGACGCTTGCTTGATCTATTACTTCTATGGCCTGTTTGGATAGGAGTGATGAGACAGCCTCTTTATCTTTGGTAGTTGCTGCTTTTGTAAATCGAACTTGGGGGTTTGATTGTCAGCGGAGGCTTGTCCTGTAGAGGGATACGAAACTGCGGTTGAATAATGTTGGAGACGTAAGGATCTTGCAGTATTCCCCAGTTTTCCCAGTGTAGTTGGAGGCGCCCACCCACTTGAGTTGGTTGTACTGGAACGGCTGGGGTGGAAGACTCCAGTCGTTCCGAACCTGTGTTTCAGCTGCCTATAATTGCGGAACCTCTGGGTGTCCTGCCTCTTCCTGATCCTCCTCTATAGTTGCCATATGGGCTTAATTTAAAAGAATCTTTACCTCTAGAGCTGGCTATCTTCCTGTCTCTTGCTCTTTGTAGGCCCGTGAACTTAGATCTGCCTGAGTATCTTTGTGAAGTCTGACGAATGACGCTGGCTAGTGTGTCCATCGATCTAATCATAAGGACTTCCTGGAATCCTTAGAGACTTCCTTGGCGCACTTTGTCGATTTCTCCAAAAGATGGATGTTGTCGACCACGGGCTGTATAAAGTGGGCTGTAAAGTTCTCCCCAATTACAGGAGGCGAGGAGGCCTTGACGACGAGCTAAGGTCAGTGCTGCTGAAACAGATGTAAGATGATCCGCTAAAAACTGCTGATCTTTCTTTGCATAAGTAAGGCAGAATAAATCATTCTATCATCTTCCGTCCGTGGAATCCCGAATCTAGTAATAAGAGTCTCATTGATCGCCCCTAGATCTATTTAACCCAAAGAACATACGCCTCTCGGCCATGGTTTCTATATGAGCCAACTTATGCATCATCCATCTTGTAAATCTTGTTCTTTACATCGCTGATGATCTTATAGTTCTCATCGATGTCCTGGGCCTTGTAGAAGGAGTCCATGTTATGCGGGAGAACTTCTTGGCTTGAAAGTTGGGTAGATGTGGTATCTGAACTTTCGTGAGCTTTCTGGAAAGCTGCATCTAGATTCTGTGGCACTGCCGCAATCGGGTCGATCGGGGTAGAGTGATTGCATCTGGATCATCTTCCTTCATCAAATACGCCTGAGCTGTATTGCCACTTTTAGATGGTGATGTGAGATCTAGGTTATTGACCATCCAATACCGTGATTCTGCATCAGAAAATATGATTCCTCCATCATCCTCAAACCATCATCATTAATAAATTGTAGATGCTCTTCGACCGCGTAGCTGTCTGTAATATCTGATGAGGTTTGTATGCATCTAGTTGACTTGTGCGCCGCTTCTATGTGGAGATCTGATGGGTGATCGACCTGGTGATGAACGGAGTGGAGATCGCCTATGGGATGATCTTCTCGAGACTTGTGAGGTGAATGTTGATAGCTTCGCGAAGCTCTTCGGCAGTCCCTCGATGTTCTTCTAGACGATGAAGATCTGAATCATATGTCCTTCGCTAATGCCTTCGCAAGCTTCATTTGGCGTCCGTCCGGGGATCGATGATATGACCTTCGCGAAGGCTTCCGTGATGTCTGATGGTCTGAGTCCATATCTAGAGATGAAATCGAAGATGGTGATGATCTCTCTCGCCTTCGCTGAAGGCCTTCGCTAAGGCTGTACATCTAGGTCCTTCGTCAAGGTGGTGCGGACTTCCTTCGCTAAGGTGACATCGCCTTGGCTGCTACGCTGACGGGGGTGCCTCTGGGGTGCTGTTCACGCTTGGAGCCTTCGCTGGTTCGGACTTCGCTTGGCGCAGTTTGTAGTGGTCCTCCATGATGTTCATAATCTGCCGCATCATGTCTTCTGGGATGATCTGTGACGAAGTCGCCGGGCGCCTTTTCTGCGATGGGGTTCACATCAATGACGCCTGACGCCGGGTGTAGAGGCATCAGGCTGCATGGAGATCTCTGCAGAAGTCACAGTCGCTGACACCGGTCGCTTCTTCTGCCGTAAGTCGGGATGATTATCGGCTGATCATCGAGAGGCCCAACTCTGCTGCTGGAACGATCTCGGCTGAGAAAGTTCTTGCTGTCTTCGTGATTTCCCTTGGAAGTCTGGCGCTGCCCTGGGTGTCCTCAATCTGCGCTGAGACGACGATGAGGCCCTCTTAGACTTAGTCTGCAATGACGGGATGTCTGGGGAGGCCGGTCGCTTTCTCGAGGTAACGGACTGCGCCCCACGCTCCTCTCCGCCGCAGGGGTCTCTAGCAGAACACCAGACGGAGAGGGTCGATCGCTAGCAGCTGACTGGAAGGAATATCTGGACTCTCTGCCATGTTTTGCCCTTTGTTTGCGTGGATCTATCTGCAGCACGCCTTAAGACGCAAAGATGATATTTATTAAATGCAGAATGAGATAAATTAATGCAGTAACTGCAACGTGAATTAAACGCACACGCGCGCGAGAACAACTAGGGCATATTACATGTGGATCGGAGGCAGAAAACGTAATCTACAAATCGCACAGATTTTCATGAACGTAAAGCTAGCTGAACAATCACTTAATACACGGAATAAACAGTAGAAATACGATAATTAATCAATACAAATAGTAAAGGATACTAGCTATACCTCTATAGTAACCTATGAGAGGTAAAACTAAGAGATTATCAAAGGATATGTGTGTAAGGAGACACAAGGCTCTCACATCCTGCTCACTGGGCGAAGAAGGAGAGAGTGAAGCACATGGCCAGAGAGTGGCGACACCTTTTCCCGCCAGGGGAGACAAAGGGGAGCAACTCGTGGTGAGTACCAATTAGTGATTTTATTTTGAAGGGAGCTTCAAATAAGGAGATACAAGTGTTCCACTATGTTCGCAAGAAGAAGAAGACAAGCAAAAGAGCATGAGTCAGGATAAGGAAAAATACGTAGTTTTTTGTTTTGTAAATATTTTTATTCAAATATTGTTACAACTGTCATAGGGATTTTAAATGGACATTAAATGCTTAGATGTACCCCAAGGATGAACATATGAAAAAGAATGTCCACTTCACCAATTTTCCCCGTGGAGAACAAGTATTCACTGACATCAAGGGTAAATTATTTCACTCTGTATGTAACCAGGGCAAAGCCTCACATCAGAGTAAGTCAATCATCCTGTCACCAAACTTGATCACCCAACATACTTGTGGCCTTATAATGGACCTATTTTAACCCAACAAGGGATATGATTAAAAAAAATTGATTGAATTACAAGAGTATAGGGTTAATTCTGACCTCCTTTCTCACCTTCCTGGCCGATGGAGGCTTCTTGACCTCCTTCTCATCACTGAGGCCCAGACCAGGGACACCATTAGGACGGGAGGCAGCTTTCGGCGTCTACACAAATCAAAGAGTATCCTTTGAACAGATTACATAAGACTTCTTAAAGAGTCTGAGTTCTCGACAGAACAGATTCCATGAACAGTATTGCACAATACTTCAATGAACAGTATTTTACAATGTCTTAATTAAAGACATTGTACAAACCTATATACAAATTGGGTGTGGCCACGTTGCCTGGTCAAAGCTGTCTTTCGATGCAAAGCAAAGCAGTATTCAAAGTACATTCCATGAAATACCACAAAATTGACTAAACGATTCATGATGCAATTGCACAATCATAAGAAGTATCTTAATAAGGCTCAGTTAAAACATTAATGATGCAAACAGTCTACAAAACATACATTCTGAAAATATATTTCTCCTTTTGAAATCCAGATTTGAATTACATTCCAGCTATATCATGGACCTTGCAGCTTTATGTTGGAGAAAAGTCCATGTTGCAAGTCTCTGATATGTGCTACTTTGCTGTCAAACCCAAGAACATGAATACACCTAGAAACGTAATCAGTCATATATACTCCTGATGTGCCCAAGGGACACGACTCTACACAGCAAACTGCGTCACCTGAGAAAATTGGGCAATCCCATCTGGGTGTGAAACAAGGCCCTTCCAGGGCTCCAGATAAGGGCCGTATCGGCGTATGTACGGATATAAAATGTGCACGATACGTTAGGAAATATTTTAGAAAACATAGCAGATAGGCACTACAGCAATGGTGTACAGTCTTAGAATCATTTACAGATGTATTTATCTGACAAAGTATTGTTTTATTGTTTATTGACCTGTTTACACAAGAGTAGCAATGTTGTTGTGCATATATGAAACGAAACACAAGATTACTGATACTCCATTAAATTCCATTAAGTACTCTAAATGCACTCTTAAGGTTTTCCAGTACTCCTGCATTGAATAAGTAAGGAGTACGTACTCCTGATGTTGAAAATGTATCTGGACCCTTGCCCTTCTACAAAGCAGATCTCTTCCATGGAAACAAATATATAAAAAAATAGAACAAAAAAGGAGACTGATTGCTCCTCTAAATCTACATGCTGCAACTTACAGGTGGTTTTGTAGCCTGCCTCTGTGAATACTGAGATCTGCCAGTACCCCAGCTGCAAGAAAACACAAGACAACATATACGTAAGCTGTAATGTATGTGGTGAATCTAGATCCAGTCTATCAGACATTGTAAATTGGAACAGAAAAATAGTCTTGCCCTCGACATGGTTCTTAAGCAAGCATCAAGTTGATCATGGAGATTTGAAAACAGAACTGCGCACATACAAGAAGCCTTGCTGTCTTTCACAGTGTGTATGCGCTGTACACTAGTGGTGGTCTGATTAATTGAAATAATCGAAGATTGGTCGCAATGACAAAACGACCAATCAATCGATCATGTTTTCTCATGTCGAACACAAACAATTTTGGAACACTTGTTTGCAATACTGATATTTTTCACAAGGTTGGTTTTGTCTGTTACATTTCATTAGCACTACAAGCTCTTCCAATTCATGATTGAATTTATTTTAAAGACTCCATAAAGTTCATGTTCCTAACATACTAGTCATCCTTTAAAGATGTGAAATTTGCAAATGCATTTTGTGCAATTTGCAAAAAAAACGAAAGAACTACATGTTTTTTCTTTATTTTTTGTGCATTAACAAACATAACCAGAAAAATTTAATAAATGACGCTAACCAATTATTTTCGATGATTGATCAGTTGCAATGAACCAATCATCAATTATGAGATTTTATACCAATTCCCAACACTACTGTACACGTAAGCCAATAGTGAGTGAGTGAGTCTAGTTTTACGCCACTTTAAACAATATTACGTCAAAATCATTGCGGGGGACACCAGAAATGGGCATCACACATTGTACCCATTTGGGGACTCGAACCCCGGGTCTTCGGCATGACAAGCAAACGGTTTAACCACTAGGCTACTCCACTGCCCCTTCTAAGCCAATAACATGTAAAAAATTAAGACATTATTGTCACATGTATGACATTGTCACATCTCAAGAAACTGAGTATTTACTGGCATGTTATAATTTATAGCCTGTTTCAAACCATATTGTCTAGTCAAACAAAACTTTAATAGGAGTATACAAATAGCTATACCGTTCATGGGAAAAACACACATTCCTTACATAGATTTCAGTATATCTGACAAGTTCAAAACAGTGGTCTTTTTCAATATCAAACATTAAATCTGCTAAGAAAGTTTCTCAAAAGAGTCTGTTAATGTCTTATCTTCCCATTTGGATGGGAGAGATAAATAACAATGTATAGCAAAGTAATCATGATAAAAACCCACCTACATAGGACTTAAGGACAAAATTTAAATGATGAATGTGACAACTCTCTACAAAGTACCTGACAGTTGAGGCAGTGTTGGGAGTTTGCAGTGAGTACTCATACACGTCTATAGGTTTTGACGGCTTCGAATCATCATCAGCAAGGTAGCGGAGATTAAGACCTGGCACCCTGAAACGTGAACACAAAAAACAGATTTTACTATTTGTAACTATAAGACTAATTCAACAAGTCATCGGAAGATAACAAATCCCCCAGGCCCCCACATATATGACAGAACAAATCATCTGACAGTTACTTAAAGTCCAACTTTATTTCTTTTAGACCTGTCCAAATCATTTTCATGGAAATCATGAAAAACATAAATGTCAAATCTGTAAACAGAAAAAGGCACCACTTCAAGATCTGTTTGATATATCTGCCAAGTCTTGTAGAAAGGTATTGAAATGTTTTCAAGTTGTGCTCCAGAAGCCCACCCCCTCCCTTTTGAGACTAAGTCTGAATCGTTTCCATTGAAACAAGGAAAAATATAAATGAATCTGCAAATAGCAAAAGGCACCACTTTTGGATCTGCCAAGTTTTGTTGAAAGACATCGAAAGGTTTTTGAGTTGTGCTTGGGAAACGAAGCCCACCCCTCCCTTTTGAGACTGTTTGAATTGTTTCCATGGAAACTGAGAAAAATAAAAATGACAAAAATCTGCAAACAGCAAAAGGCACCATTTGGGATCTGTCTCATATATCTGCTAAGTTGTGTTGAAAGATATTGAAGGATTTTCAAGTTGTGCTTTGGAAACGAAGTCCACCCCTCCCCCTGATACTAAGTCCAAAACATTTCCATGGGGACCAAGAAAAATAAAAATGACAAAAATCTGTAAATAGCAAAAGGCACCACTCTAGATTCTGTTTGATATATCTACCAAGTTTTGTTGAAAATATTGAACTGTTTTTGAGTTATGCTCCAGAAACATGTAATTGTCTGACTAAAATTGATATTTTATACTTATCCTGACTCATGCTAAATGCTTGTCTCCTTCTTGCGAATGATAGTGGAACACTTGAAATCCCTTGAAGTTCGCTTCTAAAAAAGCGGACGTAAAATCATCACTCACCAACGAGTGGCCTCCCTTGCCCCTTTGGCGCCCTTTTCGTCACATGACCAGCCATGTTTTGTCACTCTCTCCGTATGAATGCCCGACACCCAGATTTACAGGGAAATCCAGAGTGCCATGAGAGGGGAGGTTGGGAGGGATGACCTCATGAGTCAGGATAAGTATAAAATATCAATTTTAGTCAGAAAATTACATATTTTTGCTTATCCTGACTCATGCTAAATGCTTGCAGAATCCGTCGGAATCGGTGGTGGGTCAGGCCACTTCTGGATTCACTGGCTGTTGATTTACGTCCTGTATTACCCCCCCATGGGAACTTATGACGCACTGCTGATGATTCTTTTCTTTCAACTTTCTCTGATGAGTCTAGGGGGAACCACAACTTATCAGGTTTCTTTCGAAACTTCTCCTGACATTTTCGTGTGGATTTTAGATATACTAATGTTCCATTAGTTATCTATTGCAACTCCATCTCTGGAAGCGCGCATGCAGTGGAGATGCGACCCTTTAACCATTTGCTCTCCAGAGCGTTGGTTTTCACAAGTCACGTGATAAAAGTGTGAGATTTTTCTCAGTGCCTTTGTGGAACCGTTAGTTGTTGTGCTACAACAAGTGGCCCAAACTGGTGAATGCCTGAGACGTCTTCGGTGACAATGTCTCTGAAGTAGTGGTTAGCAAACACCGTGTTCGATTTCCAAAAGCGGCCCTCCATTATTGTTGTAATCGAGCAGTTTCCATTCAGAGCAAGCGTAGACGCCAGGGATCTGACTTCGTAGAGATTGGAGGCTCGTGGAGGCTCAAGTCCTGCTGCTTTGTAGGCCCTTAGTATAACGGCTCTCATCTATATCGATATCGTTGTCTTTGAGACTTCCGTGGGCATCTTAGTGGATAAGGGGATGAATAGGCGCTTGAATTTTTTTTTGTCCTTTGTAGGTAGACTTTTAGTGCCCTGACAGGGAATAAGGATAGATCCTGTGTATCCTGTGGCCCAAGGACTGTAGAGAGTGCTGGGATGTGGAACAGGAGAAAGCTGAGTTGTAGCAGACTTGTTGATCTTGTTGATCCTTGTTTGTTGATGTAGAATGCTGCTATGGAGTTGTCCGTGTGGATCATGAGTCTTGCGTTCTTTAGTACGCTGGACCAGTGTTGTAAAGCGTTGACCACTGCTTTCATCTCCAACAGGTTGATGTGCAGACTCTGAACCTGACTCGACCACTTCCCAGCTGCCACTTCATTGTCGAGGTGGGCACCCCATCCTTGTAGCGATGCATCCACGTACGAGTCCACCATAAGAGGTATGGTGTCAGGCTGTCCGATAGTATCAGCGGATCCAGACTGTCGAGATGGGCATTCACAAATATTTGTAGTGGGCGCAGTTGTAGTCTCCCTCTGCGAGTCATGTCTTGAGCTGAGGTGAGTAGATCGAGCATGCTTTGCCAAGCACGTAGTGTCAACGGAGAGAGCATTGCTTGAGATATATGTTGTATCTTGACCCAACGATCCTCTGGGACGACTATGCGATTCACCGGCGTGATGAGTTGTATTCCTAGAAATTGAAGATCCTGTTTCGGCTCCAGTTCTGACTTGAGGAGATATACCAGCCATCCTAACTGAGTGAGAAGCCTGATGGTGAAGTCTAGTTGCAGTCTGAGTTGACTGGGATCTTGATGAACTTGAATTCTGTTGTCCAGGTAAAATGCACTGCGTAGACCTCGACGCTGTAGATATGTGACGATGGGCTTGGTAACTCGAGTAAACAACCAGGGGGCCGACGATATTCCAAACGGTAGAACCTTCCACTGGAAGTGATGTCCGTTGAAAAGGAATCTTAGGTATTTCCTTGAGTCTGGATGTATCGGGGTGTGTAGGTACGCATCTTGTAGATCTATGCTGGCGAGGTAGTCTGATGGACAAACGAGATGTCGGAGCTGAGGAAGATGTATCATCTTGAATTTTGCTGGTCTGCGGAGATACTCCTGGTTGAACTTCCTCATGTTGTAGAAGAGCTGAAACTTCTCCTTGGAATTATTCTTCGGTACCAGGAAAATTGGGGAGTAAAAACCGGGCGTGATGAGATCTTGATTTATCTCTTCTACTGCATCTTTGTCAAGTAGAGTCTTGATTGCGTCGTCCAGTTTCTCTGTCTGGTCGGCTGCATAGTTGAAGGCCAGCGGGTTGCTTGTAAGCGGCAGGATGGCTTCCAACTGTATCTTGTACCCTCTGTGTAGTATCTGAGATAAGTAGTCGTCCTGTAGTATTCCAATTCTCCCAGTACCATTGAAGACGTCCACCCACTGTCGAAGGTTGTACAGGAACGGTTGGGGGTGGAAGACTCCAGTCATTCCAAACCTGTCCTTCAGCGCTTGGTTCCCCTGGCACCCCTGGGTGCTCGGCCTCTTCCGGGGTTACTTCTGGGGGCTCTGGTTGGGCGACGAAAAGAACCTCTCCCTCCTCTTGAGCTGGAATTCTTCTTTTCTCTGGCTCTCTGGACTCCTGCAAACTTGGATTTGTTGGAGTAGCGCTGGGACGTCTGGCAAATCACATTTGCCAAGGTATCTATGGACTTTATCAACATGACCTCCCTTGATTCGTGTGTAACCTCGAGTGGTGCTCCGATTAGTTAAAATAATCGAAGATTGGTCGAAAAGTGGCCAAACGACCAAGCAATCGATCACATTTTCTCATAATCGAACACAAATGATTTTGGAACTGCTGTTTTAGTCTTTGAAACACTTGACGATGGAACATATATCTTTGAAGTGGTCAGGGCCTGAAAACTTGTTTAATTCTTAGAAAACTCACATCACTAACTGAAAAGTCATGACTGAATATTTCTTGAAGACTCCAGGAAGTTTATGTTCATGATATATTACTCATCACTTTAAAGTAGCAAGTTGCACCATGTTATACATATCTACAATAACAACCTGGATAGGAAAATCTGAAAAATGACGCTAACCAATTTTTTTCGATGATTGTTCGTTGGTAATGAAGCAATCATCAATTGTGAGATTTCAACCAATTCCCAACACTAGTAACCTCTTTAGCGACTTCTTCAATTCCTCCTCTGCAGATGGATGATGCTGACCATGGGGCTCTGTATAAGGACTTGGTGAACCGCTCACTCCAGGTGCACGATGACAAAAAATCCTTGTCTCCTCAGGAGAGTCAGGCCCGCTGATGTGGATGCTAGATGCTCCGACATAAACTGGTGGTCCTTTTTCTGAGTCAGTAGCGCAGAATATATCATCCGGTCGTCTTCGGCGGTGGAGTTCTTGAACTTCGAGATGAGTGCTTCGTTGATAGCCCTAGACCTGGCTAGTCCGAAGAAGGAAAGTCTAGTAGTAGTATCCAGTTGCGCTAGCTTCTTGTCTTTTATCTTGTAAGTTCTATAGCGGGAGTCATTGATGATCTTGTAGTCCTCATCAATCTCCGGTGAGGTGAGGTGAAATTGGGTTTAACGTCGTGCTTGAGAATATTTCGCTCATATGACGACGTGAATGCGTGTGTATGTGTATGTGCGTCTGCTTGTACTATCCCAGACTTAAGCTGGTTTTATAGTGCTAGCCCACTGAGATATCATGCCGCAGTGAAGCATGGATACCCCACTCAGACACATTATACTGACTCCGAGCCAACCAGTCCTTATTGTACCCATTAATGCCGAGCGCCAGGCAGGGACCAACAAGTACCATATTTTAACGTCTTTTGGTATGACGCGGCCAGGGATCAAACCCGCGACCTTCCGCTCTCCGGGCGGACGCTCTAACCACTACACCACGGAGGCGGTCTCATCAATCTCTGGTACCTTCAGGAAGGGTTCCATGTGATGTAAGGGGAATCTCCTGGCGTTGAACGTCGGGATATGCTGATTCTGGAACTTGGTAGCCTTATCAAAGGCTGAGTTGAGACTGTCAGGTACTTGGGAGATCGGGTAGAAAAGGCGGAAAGGTGAGAGTGTCGAAATCATCGTTGGACACCTTGTATGTAAACGCTTTGTCTGGGTCCTTGGAAGGCGATGCTAGGTCCAGGCCATTAGCAATCCATGAGGTTACTTCCGTGTCAGAGAATATGACTTCACCTTCTTCCTCTGATTTAGACATCTGCCGCTCTGGCGATCCACGACGACATGAGTCTCTGTGTGAAGATCTGTATGACGAACTGCGCGCAGGTGAACGATCCCGATGTGATCGTGTATCCTTCCTGGAGTCTTGAGATCTCTCTCTAGGCCTTCGTGAAGGTTGATTCTTAGACATAGTTTCCCCTCTGTAAGATGTGGAGTGCATGCATGCAGGTTCCCGATGTGCGTCTGAGTCCGATGGTGATGACGACCTGTATCTACGACGACTGTAGGGTTCGGGAGAATGCTTCGATCTGCTTCTGCATGGAGAATTCTTAGTGGCTCCTTCAGGGACGTCTAGATTGAGCTGACGTTAGTAGCGTTGTCCAGGCTCTTAACTTCAGATGGAGAAGATCGTCAGGTGCGTGAGCCTTCACGCAGGCTTCCCTCTTCTTCCAAGTGTGTTGGAGAGACTGCTGAATCTTCACGCAGGCTAGTAGTCATCGTAGTGGTCTTCGTAGCAGCTTTCTCCTGCGCGAAGCGACGTTCCATCATCGACATCATCTGGTCTGTAAACTGTTGCATGAACAGTCCTGGGTTGAAGTTCTGTGATGTCTGAAGAGATTGCTGCAGGGATGATGATGCTTCTGACAACGATGAGGCGTCTTCTAAGGCACGCTGCACTTGTGAAGAATTGACGCTGCTGTTGTCCTTGGTACCTGATGTCTGCGTTGATAGAAGGTCTTCTGTCAATGTCTGCGCTGATAAAGTTGCCGATGTAGCTGTAGAAGAAGGCTTCATCTTCTTGCTGACGACTGTGACTTCAGGTATGACTGACTGACTGAGTTTGGTTTTACGCCGCTTTTAGCAATATTCCAGCAACATCACGGCGGGGGACACCAGAAATGGGCTTCACACATTGTGCCCATGTGGGGATTCGAACCCGGGTCTTCGGCGTGACGAGCCAACGCTTTAACCATTAGGCTACCCCACCGCCCCACTTCAGGTATGAGGATGGGGGGATCATCATACACGTCTGCTTCTTCCGCAGGTACAATCTTGGCAGAGAAGGATCTCGTCTTCTGCGTAGAGCTGTGTAGAGACTTCGATGAAGTCTTAGGGGTAGTAGCCTTCTACTTCTGCGTTGAACGATCTAGTCTTCTTTGTCTGCGAAGAGGTCAGCTCCGTTGACGACGATCTCTTATTGGCTCCAGAGTTCATCACTGGAACAGCGACCTGACCCTGTAAAACTCTCGGCAATTCACTGGAATTATGAACATCGGCAGCAGTAGTTAACACACGGTTATCAGCGCAATCACTCGTTTTAGACATGACATGTGAATACCTTCTTACCCAGTCCTTTGCACATCTATGAATGGAAAAAAGGTAGTTATTGAATTCGAAAGTGGTTAAATTCAGACAATCTTTACAGCGAGAGCTGAAAGAACATGAAGTAGTGCAATCAGGACATAATAAATGTGGGTCAGACGCAGACAACTGGTACCTACAACGAATACAAATTTTCATCAAATGTAAACACGATGAAAAAAACATGTCAAACAACGTATACTTTAGATCAAATTTCAAACATTATACTAGAATACAATCCTAAAAGCCGTATACAGCAATAATTTTGATGTAAAGGTCCTAAACAGAAAAGGATATGTGCCGTATAGGGACCCAGGTGCTCTCACAACCGTCCTCAAGGGTGAAGAAGGAGAGAGTTACAATACATGGCTGGTCATGTGACGAAAAGGGCGCCAAAGGGGCAAGGGAGGCCACTCGTGGGTGAGTGATGATTTTACGTCCGCTTTTTTAGAAGGGAACTTCAAGGGATTTCAAGTGTTCCACTATCATTTGCAAGAAGAAGGAGACAAGCATTTAGCATGAGTCAGGATAAGGACAAATAAAATGATTACGGACAGATGGATGGACAGATGGATGAGGCATCGACTATATTCCCCAGCATCAAAAAAGATAAAAAAGCTTTGGCCAGTGAAATACAGGACAATATATATCACAAAACAAGTGTGCCAATATGATAAGTATCATTTATTGGTCCAAAGCAAACAAAATTTAGGAGAAGAAAATGGTTTTATCCTCGATATGACACCTTGAATTCTGGATGATGTCGAAGGACATGCGAGTGTAGATTAATATTGTTGAGATAGGTTTGGCATAGTTTACAGATCACATTTTATCATTGAGACGTAGCAGTCCCATTTACCATTTCCAAATAGTTGAGTTGAACTTGATCAATCCAGATTGTTTTGCTGAATTTAGTGAAGTGGTATTGGGATCCATCATTGTTTGTGGTGGTACATCATGTATTGCTTTCCTACATGAGTGAGTAAGTGAGTGAGTTTAGTTTTATGCTGCACTCAGCAATATTCCAGCTATATTACGGCGGTCTGTAAAGGAGGAATCTTGGCGTTCACATTGATTCTTCTTTGACGTTCAATGCCCATGTTAACCAAGTGAGCAAAACATGCTTCTTCCATCTCAGGTCGATCAGCAACATTCGCCAGTACTTGACTTCTGCAGCAACTCAAGCCCTTGTTCGAGCTCTAGTAACATCCAGGCTCGACTATTGTAACAGTGTTCTTTCTGGCATCAACTCCAATCTGATTGATAAACTGCAGAGGATTCAAAACACCTCTGCCCGCATTATCAGTAGAACTTCTAAACGTGTCCACATCACTCCTGTCCTTAAAGAACTCCATTGGCTTCCAGTCAAGGCAAGAATCGATTTCAAAATTCTCTCCCTGACGTACAAATGTCTCCATGGCTTGGCCCCTTCCTACCTCTCTGACCTGCTTCACCCATATGTACCTGCCCGCAGTCTCCGTTCCAACTCTCAGAATCTTCTTGTGATACCCTCCTACAATCTGAAATCTTTCGGACACCGCAGCTTCTCCTACACAGCACCGGCCCTCTGGAATGTTCTTCCATATGACATCAAAGACTCTGACAGTTTTGATAGTTTTAAAGCAAAACTGAAAACCCACCTTTTCTCAGTATACTTCTCATAACTTCACCCATCTTCATCTTTGTAGCGCTTTGAGCATACCCAAGGGCGTGGAAAAGGCGCATTATAAATGTGCATTATTATTATATATTATTATTAAATAATCAAGTCTGGATGAGACAATCCAGTGATCAACAGCATGGGCATCGATCTACACAATTGGGATACAATGACATGTGTCAACCAAGTCAGCAAGCCTGACCACTCGATCCCATTAGTCGCCTCTTAAGACAAGCATGAGTTACTGAAGATCAATTCTAACCCAGATCTTCATGGGTTCTCCTCTTTCAGAACTGCGCACTATGCTCCAATAAGCACCTACACGATACATATATTGTGATATATTGCCCAAATAAATTTTGTATCGATGCATCACATCACATGAGAGGCTATGATGATTTCAGTGCTATCAATGAATCGTTGTACCCCTATTTGAAATCTCACTGCAATAATACAAATATTCCAATCCTGTTGATCCAACAAACCACTTCAACGTAAGATGAGTATCTCAAAGGTGACACAAACAGAGAACCCCCACCTACAAAGAAGTCGTCTGTTTGTGAGAAAAGACAATACAAAAGACAGGCCATGTCTGCTGGCTGCCTGATTGTATGAACTCACCCATCAGGTCGGCTTTGTGGTCGACTGTGGCTTGTGGCTACTGTTCGGGAAACTGGACGGTCAGGCATATCCTCGCCCTTCAACAGAAAGTCAGATATTTTGGAATAAGAAAATATACCTATTACTGATAAAAAAGATCAGTTAGATCCAGGTGGTTTCTTGTAACTTAGGTACTAAATAAACAAATCTAAAGGATGTGCTTGACTAAATAACACTATTTTTATACTGGGGGATAAAAATGTAAAGATTCATTTAGAACCATTATGAATAAGATTCATAGGATATCTTTAGATTTAGCAACAACCAATTTTAATGGTTGCTGTGGCTAAACTTGATCTATCCATCACAAACTGACCATGACATCGGATGAAACCATTTGCCGCTACATAAGAACTTGGTTCATGTTAAGGTAACTGACCGTTATTGGATTTCTGTCTGAGCGGCCACTCATTGGTCGAGATGCTCCCCCAGGTAGCTGACGCTGCTGGGCCCTGGGGGTTGGGTTGCCATGGATTCCTAGCTCCATGTCTCTCAGAAGTAAGCTTTCTGCAAAAGATCCCATATATAACTAGGTGTTCGCATTAGATGTTAAATAGAAGCAGACCCATCCCTACCATTTCTTGAATGTTCCAATACTTTCCATCAGAAACATGTACGTAATGACTTCACCACATCAGGTGACAGTACAACTCACACATGTGCCAATGCAGTACAAATCTGAAACAAAACGTGTCTAAAACTACCTCAACAACAAAATGAAATACATACTTCTGATTAAATCATATCACTCCATTTCAGATAATCTACGCTTCCTTCAAATTTATAGAAGCACAAAATACTGTACACAATCTTTGGAGGACATCTGCTTCCCTCAACTACAATGTCACATGACAAAACATTACTTCTTGCACCCAGTGGTTCTAGTCTAGAAATATTTTCCATACCAAACTCTTGAATTAAGCTATGGTTAAACTATATCATTTTATGTGTTAATTACCTTCAACGTGACCTTCACATGTAAAACAATCATGACTGACTGACTGAGTTCGGTTTTACGCCGCTTTTAGCAATATTCCAGCAACATTACGGCGGTAAAACAATCATGAATGATGAGTAAACACCTTGACCAGTAGGCAGCCCCACTACCCGAAACAATGATGACATATAAAGGGTGTTGAGTTAGTTACTTTAAAGTTCATCTAAACTGATTGCTAAAGACTTTTCTCATGAATTAATCTGAAATTTCATGAAACATAACCCATGTTTGGAATATCTCCATGGCCGAAATCTTTCCAGATTTACAGTACCCATGTACTGCATTGTATACACAAGCTGTTTGGACATCAGTTTCAGAATAAGTAACCTAGACAAGGTCATCCAATCAATTCAGAAGAAACTTCTTTGGGCTATATTGGAGGTATCGAATATGAAATCTTTAACAAGGATTTTACAGAAACAATTGCACTTGCAGTAGCATATTTTGGATCGAGATTTACTTGGAATCTGCAGACAATAGGTGTTTGATAACAACTGCACAGTAACTGCTTTAATACAATCCACCAGCTGCTTAGCAGGACTGAAATTAATCTGATACTCATTCAGGCTGGACCAATCACATTTCATCTAAAAGTACCTCTTTTACCTTTGGGTAGGTGGCAACTCTGCAGATCAGTCTTACACACTGGGTATTGCAGAGAATTTTCATATTGCAATATATTGCGATGCGAAAGCATATATTGCAATATGTATTGCAATATATTGCAAGAAGTTCTTTTTTAACAAAAAACTACTTATAATCGAGTTAATGCTTGATTTATAAAGCAAAAACACAACAAAATCACCATGCTTGATTAAGCTTTAATAAAAACTTTTAATCATGACAAAATAAAAATGTAAATAATATTTGGCACAAATAAAAAAAGGAAAGGAACAATTTATAAAACGGAAATATCCGAAGATTTCCGAGTGTTACGAAGTCTTTTCGAATGCATGTCAAAATACCGGTTTTCAATTAGCGTATCGCAATACGTAGCGTTTTCATGTCTGATTAGCAAGATTACATTAATTAAGCCATATATTGTGCACTCAACTAATGGCAATGATTTTGTTTTGTGAGAATTCAAGGACAACTGTACTTCACCACTGACGAGGCATATTTGTTTCAGAATCTAAGTAGCACCCATGCAAATCTAATGACTTAATCTAACTAGCCTACACTTTACCAAAGGACCAAGTGAGGTATCACAAATAAACAGTCAGTACTCATTTACCAAGTGATGAGCATCAGCTAGTTTACCTTTATGCCTATGCATAGTGACCAAGTTTTCACAAAATTAATATTGGACCAATTTTCCTCAAATCATATTTATTAATTTGTTAAATAAAGTGGCTAAACCATTCCCTACCTCACAACATAAGCAAGGATAAATAATGGGTGCTTAATTCTAAGGTTTATAAAAGGGTGTGTGATTGGTAAGTGGATCAAAGTGCGAAGCATACACTAATGTAATGGTAACATAACTAAACCTAAGAATCGAATACACAGTGAGATCAGTAAAGCAAGCGCCAATCAGTGATGTAAGCAGCAAACTGTTAACTACAATGTAACTGAATTATTTAAACTTTTATCTCCATCATTTCATAATTTGACAATACTGAATATGATATAGTTGTACTTGTAGAAGCCTAGAGGAGAGGAAAAGGTGAGAATGGCATAACAAGCGAGTCCGGTAATTCCACGCGTCCGGTAATTCTACGCAGCTGCAATAGCGTACTTCCGTATCGGAGGTAAACATTGTCTGCTACCACATTTACGCTTGAAATCGGGACATTTCAACAAGGGACTGGCTTTTAATCACAAAAGGTAAGTAAATAACAGTAAATGACTGATAAATTGACAGTTTTATGAAAATTCGTTTTGTTCAGACTTTTAAACCTTTTTCTTCATTATTCATAATTGGATTTAATATGAAACACTCTTCCTTACATTGATGAAGTGATTTTTGAAAATAATCTGTCACCAATACGCTTCCATACTTCGGATCTCCAGCTGGATGTTATGCGCATCAGTTGCTGCGCAGAATTACCGGACAGCAAGCGATATCGTCAGAACGCCGGTAAGGTCAACCGTATGGCATAATGCAACGTTGGAATCTTATAGTCGTCAATAAAAGTTATATTTCTATGTAAATATGATGCATACCAGCATGCTTAGTCACATAAACCACAAAACATAAGAGACGTAAGTTGCCGTGTTGCGATCGATGTTCTTAGGTGCGCGGAATTACCGGACGGCATTGAATATGAACACAGCGTCTCTACAATACAAGGCAGAGGGAAAATAGAAAAAAGAATAATGAGTATACTGTAGACTTGGCTGGAATCAGGTTCCCAGATACGGGCGCAGCCCTCGCTGCTCCCTTTACGATCCTTAGGTTTAGGGTAAGAAGGGTGGCATACCTGCTAAAATTTCAGTTAACAGGCAACGAAAACTGAAACGATGCATCCAAATAATAAAAAATAATTTACTTCCAAACTGATCAGTCATAAATAGGGACCGTAGTTTATTGTGTCAAATATGACAACTTCAGGTATAATTCTAAGTAACAATCAGTACTTAAATAGTTTAAACTTACATCCACCAGTATATTCAGTCATATTGGCACAATCGGTGTCGCTGTGTTAATTTGCATTAAGGAATACAACTCGTATATTCGTCAGTTGTCAAGTAATCAAATTTCACATAAATATTTTCGGTGAACCGGAAGTGAATCTATTCGAACCGGAAGTAATATTTACAGGTACTTATTATTATTTTTGATACCTCATTTGTTAAAATTATTATGCATATAGAAACACGTTGCTTAACAGTGTTTAATCCAAAAATATTAGATATTTGTATCAAAAACCCAATTGTTGCTACAAAAAGATGAACCTGAGAATGAAATGAAAGACAGTTATGAAAAAGCGAACCATTGAAAATTCAACGATGTTTCTGTCCAGATTCAATTTTGATATATCAATTATAGTGCTATAGTACTATTTGCAAATAATGGCTAGACGCAGCATGTAATAGAACCTTCAATAGCTGAAGAAATTCATATATGTTCCGTTCTTTATTTCGTTCCACATTTTTTATTTGTCGCGTGGACGCCATTTTCCGGCGCGTAAGAACAACGTGAGTTCTGATAATTTGTACGCAAGGTAAAGTTACAACAGAAGACATAAACATGGCTTACAAGGGTGGTCAAAAGGTCCAGAAGGTTATGGTGCAACCTATTGTATCCTTTGCTGAATACTTGTATATTGTCTAAGACTTCACATGAAGTCTCAGAAGCTCATATCACTGTTTTTATGAATGGTTACACGTGAATATAAGAATGCATGTTCAATGTTGAAACAGTGAAATTACTGGTCTGTACAATTTTGCTTTCGGGGACTGTTGCTCAGCTGTTGGTGGTATTTTTGGGTTAAGAGTTCCGCCCGTAACCCCCGCTTGAAATGTATTCTATTTATTATGATTATTTCGAGGGTTTAGGGTTCGGGTAGGCTTTCTATAAAAAACATCGGAGCACCTTTAGAATACAGCACCACAACTTCTCGTGAGGACGATCTCTGCCGTAGGTCACGTGTCATTAAGACAAGCAACCAGTTTGTGAGAACCCGTCGGACGCGAACCCGCGACCTTCGGATTGTTAGCTCGACAGCTAACCGACTGAGCTACGTCCAAACTGTTGCAGAATGTGCAAATTTATCGAGTCATTCCTGTGACGTCACGGAAATGAACGGAAAGAGTCGAATAGGTCACGGACAATTACGAATGCTACGGGTAGACTTGGTGTCTCGTGATTTTATTCTCCGGACAATTGCCGAATGGATCCGATGCCATTTGGCACACTCGTCCCCATTCCGTAATCTACAAATTAACGTGTGGCGTGGAATGAGCCGATATGCCTCAAACCGAAAAGGGTTGTTGACGCCAGGCGCCAGACGAGATTTCACGGTGCATGCATGAATGACGCTTTTATATAAATCGGTGATTTTGTGACAGAAAAGTGATGTAGGGAACACTGTAAGGATAATGTGGATCGCACTAAGGAACGAGGGAGACATGAGCATGTGTAGTGACGCACGAGGGTGAGTTAGCCTTCAATCATTACTTTACAAAATTTATGTTATGTGTGAAAGAGGCTTGAGTGCAAATTCCAGACCAATTTCCATTAGCCCAAAATGTCTACATTAACCCATTTCATAATGTACTTTCGACGCTTTTGGTTTCCGCTTTTGTGTGAAATAAAAGTATTAAAATGCAAAAAGGAAAAACAACAAATGGTACTCAACGCATTACACCGGGTCATGTACCTGCTATATTGGATTAGGTCCCTAACCCTAACCCTAACCCTAACCCTAAACCCTAAACCCTCAGCCCTAACCCTAACCCTAACCACTTGAAATAATCCTAATAAATAGAATGCATTGACCGAACCACCGGACATGTACCTACTATATATTGCATTAGGTCCCCAACCCCAACCCTAACCCTAAACCCCTAACCCTAACCCTAGTCCTAGTCCTAGCCCTAGCCCTAGCCCTAGCCCTAGCCCTAGCCCTAACCCCAATCCCTTGAATTAATCCTAATAAATAGAATGCATTGACCGAACCGGGCGCAAACACTCCACTGACGGTCTAGTGTAATGCATTATTACCGCCGAAAAAAATAAAATACTAATAAAACACTTTTCTATGTAATGGTGCAAATTACTGAATGACAAATATATATATGTAAATTTAAAAAATTAAAAAATACAAAATACACAAAACATAACACCTCAGCAGCCCGTAATACAAATAAATATGAGCGTATTAGTGAAAAAGAAAATATTTCAAACTGGTGCTTGCAAAATATTGCGCATCCGCCGGTATACAACTACTGGAAACTCTCAACATCGTTGGGCTTATGCAATGACATAGCTCGTAGAGATGAAACACCAGTGAGCGGAGCTTATACGCACTCGCTGAGCCAGACAACCGTGTTGCCATGCAGGCGTCATAAGGCATTGTTTCGAGAACGTGCTTTCGAACAAAATCACATTACATTACGTAAAAGGGTATTATGACGTATTTTTAAAGTTTGTGGTGCTGTATTCTAAAGGTAGGCCAAAACATCTATTCTTGGGTTAAGGTAGGTTCTCTAAAAAAACCAACTCATCTATTCTTTGGCATAGCATGATAAAAAACTGGCATTACGAGCGGACATATTTCCCACTCAATAACTCGCTCAGAATGTTAGGGTTCAAATGTATTTGAACATGTCAGATGCTTTATTAAGTGATTTTCACCAAATAGTTTAATTGCGAATTGTTGTTTCTTTCCTTGACTGGTTCCAGAACCTTATTTTCAGATATCTTCAAAACGTAAGTATACAATCTAAATCAGTAATTAAAATCGTTAAAAAGAAATGTATATACAGGCTAATGGCTTTCCTTCCACAAAAGCTGACATTCTGTGATATACACTGGAATACTGTTTTGTTAAGATAAGAGACAACTGTCTTGTCAGTGCAGCATGCCTGTCATGATGTACATGTATATATCACTATTGAAACTTGGGGTGGTGGGGTAGCCTAGTGGTAAAAGCATTCGCTCGTCAAGCCGAAGACCCGGTTCGATTCCCCACATGGGTACAATGTGTGAAGCCCATTTCTGGTGTCCCCTGCCGTGATATTGCTGGGATATTGCTAAAAGCGGCGTAAAACCATACTCGCACTCGCACCAAATTGAGGTTACTGTAACATTGTAACATGAGTATCACTCTATGCAAGGGATGTATCACAAATGTTTATGTGAGATTGCATTCCTCCACCCGACACAATGATTCAAGTGCCAGGTTCTGATTATGAAAGAAACAAAACTGAAAAATATTTGGCACAAAACAAGTTCTATTTAATAACTATGTTGTTTCAAAGATTTCATTTGGGACACTGTTTTGAGATCACACCGTCTTTAAAACGGAAGGATACGACTATTGTCGAAGATTGTATGAAGAAGACCCATCAGCCTATAAATTAAGCTTGCTATATTGCTATTGTAAGAATAAATGGTTATGTAATTAAATGAATTGTAACGCTGATACTTGTGATGGGTCATGTCCTTGTATAACATATGATATAATCACTGAGTTACCTTGAATTGTTCCTATTATCCATTTTCTATAATGATACAGTAATACAGTTTTCAGTTTATTGACAACCATTTATCTTTCTTTTTTAGCGATCAAGAATATCAGTTTGGCTGTATGAGCAAGTCAATCTTAGAATAGAGGGATGCATTGTGGTAAGTATATTTGTGATTCCTGCTGAAATGGACCCATGAAGATCCAGGTTAGAATTGGTCTTCCTCAACCCATGCTTGTCATAAGAGGCGACTAACGGGATCAGGTGGTCAGGCTCGCTGACTTGGTTGACACGTCATTGTACCCCAATTGCTTAGATCGATGCTCATGCTGTTGATCACTGGATTGTCTGGTCCAGACTTGATTATTTACAGACCGCCTTAATATAGCTGGAATACTGCTAAGCACTGTGTTAAACATGTTTGATGCAGATTTTAAAAATTTGAATTGTTTTATTTGACAAAATCTGTCCAAAAACTTTGAAGATTGAATTGGTCACACTCGTACAGTATTTTTGTTGTGAGAAACACATGGCCAAACCTTCAGTTGTATGGTGTCAGGTAAATTCACCACAATGGGGATACACAGATTCCTGAGAAGCGACTCTATTGTTTAAGTGGTCAGTTTTTGTGACCTCTTATGGACAATTGCCAACCTGCAAATCATGACCCATGTTAACGCTGGAGTTGCATGGTTGATAGAAACATACTTTCTCTGTTCTCTTTTCCTCTTCACATCACTTTGTGTATTCCTGGCAAGGGAGAATTTTGAAAAGTGTTGGTATATTTACAGCCACATATCCACCTATTTCTCAGTAAAGTGATGTTCTTCATGTTTGACAATGGTGTATATATGTAAAGGTGATCCAGTGGGTGTATTGCCATTGAATTGACATTACTATTACAGGGCTTTGATGAGTACATGAATTTGGTCTTGGATGATGCAGAAGAGGTTCACATGAAATCGACAAACAGAAAGAATTTGGGTAAGTAGAATGTTATGATCCCGTGGATTTCCAATTTGGCAGTGTTCAAAATTAATGATCGCCTATTTGCCCTAGCATTTGGGAAGTGTACCCGGGCTGATGCTAAGTGGGCTTTGTGTACAGGAGAAAGCAACATCTGATTGATATTGACATACAGCAATGATCAATAACAATTGTTTCAGGTAATATATTGGGAACTTTATTACATGTACGGTTGACTACATCACATGTACCTTGTTTGGCATAACACCGTCATATAGCTGGAATATTGCTGAGCGTGGCATAAACTGACTCAATCACTATTTGACATAACAGCAACCAGTAGTATTTACTAACAGATGATTGGCTGAAAGAATGTCACTTGGTCTTCATATTTATATTTTATGCGCAAAGTCGGCAACTAATGTTTGTGTGTTGATTTGGGGAGGAAGTGTACTAGATGTGTTTGGGAGAATTGTCCACCAATCACCATCAGATGCTTCTGTTCTCAAAAGTGTTAATGTGGTAAATGTCTACTTGGACATGAAGGTACAGCATTCTAAAGGTAAAGTCAAATTACAGACCAAGTAGAAGGTTGGAGATAGCGCTGTGTGCTTTTATTTTGAATTTGAGACATGTAAGTCAAATGTGTATGTATTTTGTAACCTGAGGATAGGTTTGAAATATCAGTGAAATTGAGATGATTGGGTCGGACTCTATTATAATTCAACTTGAAACTTTTGATCCTTTTCATGACCTATGTCTTAGTTTGTTCCCATCAAGCCATGTATATCTCTTCTGGTTTCAGGGAGAATCATGTTAAAGGGAGATAACATCACACTGATTCAACAAGTGCAGCAAGAAGCATGATGCAGTTTCACAGTATTCTATAAAATTGACATTGTTTTCTGAAGGACATCACATCATTGAGATGTTATGAGAAGTGTGTTGTCATTGTAAATACATCATTGCACATCGGTGGACTTGTGGAGAAGGATGCGATTACTGATACATTGACAGGGAGCCTCAGCTTCATATTTCATGCTTCATGTGCATCTCAGATCTAATGAAAATCATTTTTCATATGAAAGAGGTTATATTTATGAGATGTTGAAAACTTCTATAGTCGGTGACTTTCCTACATACTTTATCTGTTTCAAACTAATTATGTTGAATTGGGAGATTTCGAAGTAGAGTTTCACAATATCTTTTTAATTATGACCTGATTATGTTGTTTTGACACATGAGTTACTGTTAATCACTGCCAGTGTTCAAAATCAAGCTTGTGAGTCATGGTCCTTGTAACAACACCAATGTTAAGAGATGATCCCAAGATTCGAATGCAAATTTCCTCACCAACCTCTGTATTTTAAACACCGACTGCCTGAAGGCTGTTAAAGAGTTAGGACAACTAGAATTTTATGTTGTAGTATGGCATTCATGAATGAGAAGTGATTGTTGTGCAGTTGTCTTAAGTACAGTGTTTTAAAGAGAGGGTGTAGTCGTCGGAAGACCTTGACGGAACTGGTTCCTACACTTGTAGACAGGGAACAACTAAGCTGTTTTTCAGTCCTTGTAATGGCACTAGAAAGTGACTTAAACTCGAGTCCTTTTAAATTTAGAATCAGTTCTGTTATTCCTCATTATTTAACTTGAGATAAAGTTATCACATAGTGTAATGTCCATACAATTACAAGAATGCAGATGTAATATGATTTCAATTTTCAACTGATCCTGTTAACTATATTGATGCTATATAATATCTGCCCTGAATCCTCATGCAGGGTACCCAGACATCCTTTTTGTCTCAAGAGTTTGAGATAATGTTTTTATGCCTGACACTGTGAAACCAATGCAGGGATGGCCTCCTGAATATCTGATGAAGTGTAAAATGTCACATCATATAAACACATTTTAGATATAATGCAAAGAAGTTTGTTTTGTCTGTTTATGAACATGATGATCAAGGCACCTTAAAGTGCTTTTTTCACTATACGAAGGACCAAAGATCTGAGAAAACAGAGCTGGACACTTGCTGAAGTTAACTCTGTTATCAGAGTTTTGTTGAAAAGTCAAAAATAAAGATTTGATAATAGTTACAAGGCAACTATATGTCCCTGAGTGCTGCACAAGTCATGTAAATTTTGTCTTTATGTGCATGGCAAATAGAGTTGAGTGGGATGGAAAGTTTAGCCTGGACCAGTGCAAGTTCAGTTCAGTGCATCATATGCATGCTAAATACACAATATGGTCCTTTGGTCCTCAAGTTGTCCAGAATCCATAAAGAGTGAGTGAGTTTAGTTTTATGCCACACTCAGCAATATTCCAGCTATATGGCAGCGGTCTGTAAGTAATCGAGTCTGGACCAGACAAAATCCAACGTTCAACAGCATGAGCATCGATCTGCGCAATTGGGAACCGATGACGTGTCAACCAAGTCAGCGAGCCTGACCACCCGATCCCGTTAGTCGCCTCTTACGACAAGCATAGTCGCCTTTAGTGGCAAGCATGGGTTGCTGAAGACCTATTCTACCCCGGATCTCCATAAAGAAGGAAGTATAATGTTGACAGATTGTACTTAATGATAATTAGCCTTGAATTTCATGAGCAATAACCCAGGTCAGGTCTTTACAAAGATCCAAATTAGACCAGTTTTGATAGATGCCACAGTACAGTTATCACTGAGGCCTTCAGCATGACAAGCTGAACAGTTGCACTCACGTGAAGCAGTGGTTTCTTATAGTGCGATTGTCTAGATTTCAGAGTCGATGTATGTATATGGTATGGTCTAAAACATCACAAGTATTTGTGCATGTGTGACTGGTTTGAGGTCCCAAGTGCAAAAACAATCGTGACTCTTTGGACCATATCCAACTTAAAACCCATTCAAACTATGTGCTGAACTGATGTCTAGCCGACATGCACAGATACTGGAGTTGATTTTTGTAATTTTGTTGAGTCAAAAGTAGTCATGAGAGCTTCGTTCTTTGTGATCACATAAAAAATTACATCATCAAATAGAAAGTGTACATCATATAGTGTCTCTTTTCTGCATACAACCACCGACGAACATTATCGTAACAAACATCTGGGTTTGAATTGAGCTTCAACTTCAGTGGGGATGTCTTGGTTGATGCGAGCCGTGAAGATCCGGGTTAGAATTGATCTTCAGCAACCTATGCTTATCGTATGATGCGACTAACAGGATCGTCTGGTCAGGCTTGCTGACTTGGTTGACACATGTAATCGTATCCCAATTGCGTAGATCGATGCTCATACTGTTGATCACTGGATTGTCAGGTCTGGACTCGATTATTTACAGACCAGCATCATATAACTGGAAGTTTGCCGAGTGCTGCATTAAACAAGAAATTTAGCATACAACAAATAATCGGGCCTCAGACCAGTGTCTGAAGTTCCAGACTGTTGCTGTGATGTTTGATGCTTTGAATTGTAGGATTAAAAAGCAAACACTTAGAGAAAACATTTACTTTCATAGCACATATGTACACATACACGCCAAACAATTACCAAGATACATAGAAAATATGTATGCCACATAGCCTTGTCACCTGTGACAACAAATGAAAAGTAACTTTAGGCCATGAAAGATAACATGTAAAAATATGGAGTTTCCTGTTCTTTAACCTCTTCTGGGGAGTATGTTAGGGATTGATGTACAGTAGGAAGACTATTTACCAACACATTCTTTCCTTTTGAATAAGATGTAACAAAATTGTGACTTTGTCACAGAATCAAACAATCAAATCATGACTGTCACACAAAAACAACTTTTGAGATTTCAGCTCCTGCCATAGAATCAGCAAATTGAAAAGAAGATCCACATTTGAAATTATGTTCAACTGTCATTCCTGGGCTATTAGCCTACAGAAAAGTTAGAGTCCTCTACCTCAAGTAATTACATTCAACCTTTTATCTTTCTAGGCACAGACACACTGAGTGCATGAAACAACTTGAGTCAGTATTGAAAACTATAACACAGCCTTTGAAACCTTTCATCTCTTCCTCAAATGAACAGCTCATATCGAAACACAGGGAGGTTCAGTTGTCCAAACAATCAATCAACATAGAAATACAAACTTCGTTCAGATTCACCATATACTCCTAGCCAACAAAACAAAGGATTTTTAATCAAAGTCAGAAAAGGAACGAGACCGATATTGCAATCAGATCAAACCAACCACTTACATTGCACCTAGACAACTACATAAATATACTCATGGAAACAAATAAATAAGGGAACACATGAAAGTACAAGTGTTCCTTTATTCTTTTCCAGGTTTCTTCACAAGGTATGTATTGCACTGTGAGTGAATTTCTGGAAATAAATAAAATAACATTTGTATTTTCATGTTTCCCTTATTTATTTCCATGAGTATAGTTGCAAAGGTTCAAATGACTTTCCATATGGCAGATTTGGTCACACTTTTGAATTTCAGATCACAATCATTTGAGCTGAAAGACATGAAAGACAAAATGGGCATGACCAAGCATCCAAACAGAAAATAATAACAGTTACATTCAGATATCTGTCATTCCAACAGTAGGTCTTTGACCAACAGAGCAAACAATGAAACAATCTTGCAATATTTCAGCCACTATCAAAACATAAGTGGTTGCAGAAACAATATCTCCGCCAATTCCCCTTCAGATTGTGTAAGCTGTGACCTTGACATCAGTGTCTGAGAACACGTCCTTGACAATGTTTGTGACCTTGTGCCACTGCAATCCGTCCAGACCACATCCGATGCGGGGCATGGAGATACACCCAACCTTGTTCTCAACGACATGCTTCTTCATGTCCTGCAGACTGGACGTCAAGGAGTCGTATGTGGGTTTTTTGAAGTACTTGGGCTTGGTGACCAGATAGTAGACATACCGAGATTCCCTCTTCAAGACTGCTGTCTCACCTGGCTTCTTCCCTAGCAACAAAAAAAACCCAAACTATTTTAATGATTTATATTGTTGTCGTAGTAATGACAGAATGTTAGTGTGAATGACATCAATGGTTGATAAAAATCTACCAGTTTGCTGAATGTTTGTCACTTGATGCCACACTCAGCATTATTCCTATAACATCATGGGCAGGGGCGGAAATAACTTTAAAATTGCTAGTGTACTCCGGAACAGTGGCACATGTAAAATCACTTGCCCTGATAATTTTTCCACTATACCGGCCGTTTTCTTGTTGATTTTTTAAAATAAACAACATAAATAACATTGGAAAGTCAACTGGACACCGGTACAGTGTGATATACAAATTTGCTTGCCAGACAGAAAAAAACACTGGACTCGGACGTAGCAATGGGTTATTTCCACCCCTGATGGGGTCTGTAAATAATCATGCCTGGACAAGACAATCCAGTGATTGACATCAAGCACATAGATCTATCATTGAGATATAATGATATGCATCAACTTAGTCAGCAGCCTGGCCACCCATCGTGTTTGTTGCTGCTTACAAGCCTGATAACAGCCTCCTCAGTGTAGTGGTTAGAGCGTCCGCCTGGAGAGTGGAAGGTCGCGGGTTTGATCCCCGGCCACTTCATACCGAAAGACGTTAAAATATGGTACTTGTTGGTCCCTGCTTTGGCATTAATGGGTACAACAAGGACTGGTCGGCTCGGAGTCAGTACAATGTGTCTGAGTGGGGTATTCATGCTTCACTGCGGCATGGTATCTCAGTGAGCTAGCACTATAAAACCAGCTTAAGTCTGGGCTAGTACAAGCAGTCACACATACACACGCATGCATATCGTCATATGAGCGAAATATTCTTCAATGCGACATTAAACCCCATTTCACCTCACCTCACTATCTTACAAGCCTACAGCTTGTTCAGCTTGACCTGAGCTACTCTACATATGCATGACCCGGGAGGTCAAATGGCACAAACGGCAGGACGAGTTAACTTCATTAAATAGGGGAGCAGAGAATGTTATTAATGTTGTGAAGCATGCATACATGGATTCGTTATAGAACTTGTCCCAGAAAACAACACTTCTGAAAAAACAATCATTTTATGTTTTGATTGAATTGTTTATATTGTTTATTATGCTATCTATTTAGGTTTGCTAACTTTACAAAGTACAGAGTACAATTACTTTCACAATCCGATTCACTCTCGCTATCACTCTCTACACCCAGTTCAATTATCACTTTTTCTATTTCATATTCAACTGTAATATTTCTGTCCCAGTAGTTAGGACATTGCTGACTTCACAATAATTCTTGACACTGGTCAAAGCGGCTTGTCGCACCTGGTCTCGGCTGTTCGGACATGTTGACAATCAACTGACAAAGGTACACCCCTTCACAATAATAGACCCAACCAGTTGTGACACGGTCACGCAATACATTAGTATTCACTTGATCAGGTCAAGCTGAACAAGCTGTAAGTTGCTGAAGTCCAATTCTAACCTGGCTCTTCATGGGTCAACTTGCTGAATAACTTTATAAGCATGTAATAGACAAACATTTTAAACAAACCTACATTCAACTGAAAACATCATGTGTTGTTTGATGGAACAAAATTGGAATGCAAATCTCTAAGGCAGCCATTTGAAGCAAAAAATTGGCAACAAAATGTGTAATCTTATAGTTTTTGTCCAAAATATGAAACAAAGTCACAGAGAGTGAGTGAGTATGGTTTTATGCCGCTTTTAGCAATATTCCAGCAATATCATGGAGGGGGACACCAGTATGGGGCTTCACACATTGTACCCATGTACCCACCACTGTTTTAACCTTTAACCACTAGGCTACCCCACTGCCCCGTCACAGAGAGAGCTTCTTGACTCTTCCAACAGTATTTTGGCAATAAAAACTAAATGTGGGTCACAAGCAGGTAATCCTGGTTCAGCTAAGGGAAGTAACTCTGCACAAAAGAAAACTGCGATGGATGAGATGAAAAACATTGCAATATTGTCAATGCTCATTACAGCTATCTGGTTGTGATTTTTCTTCCTTTCTATGAACCAAACGCAATTTTCACACTCTTGAGACATGTGATCCAAACATTGATGTATACAAACCTTGACCCTTTAGCTCTTCTACACCACCAAATTTCTTCTTGAAGAGCACAGCTATCCCCTTTCCCATGTGCATGTCCTGGCTGACGCAGTGGACAATGGCGTCGGTCTCGGGGCACTTGAACAAGTCACCCTTCACCTCAACAAACTGGAAACCCTGGAAGAAAGGAAAATGATCCGATTGAGGTATTTGCTCATTGCATACACTGAAAGGCTGACATCCAGTCTGTGATAATGCATCACCTTGAACAGTATTTCAGTTACATCTTCAGTGTCTTCAAAGCATGTATTAAGGTTTTATAGACATAACCACACACACACACATTATACACACACCAGTCCTTGTTGTACACACACACACCAGGCGCACACACGTCATGACGCGGTCGGGGACACACACCCGCACGCATGCACACAAACAAACATTTCTATAAAAAAAAGGTACTCCCTCTGAAAATAAGTCCTGAGAGACAAGCGTCCATTTTTACAGCCCTCATATTATCAGTGTCGTAAGAGAAGTTGGTCTGAGCACTAGTCCTCATGAAAAGACAAAGCACTCATATTTTGTTGATAGATCAGATCAAAATATTCATTGCTTTACTCTGTCATTATTCAAATTATTATCCGATTCCTGTGCTGCCGTTTTTCTGAACACTTGATATTTTATGCACCAGGAAACTGTTACCGGTATGTCTTCCGTCCAGGTTAGTTATTGGTCTAAAGGAGACAACTCCTTATTGCTTATACCCTTGGGCCAAGGGAGATAACTCTTGAGTTTTTTCTAACATGGCGTCCATATAACCATGTGCTCACTTTCAAAAGTCAAATTTTAGAATATTTCCTGATTCTTCATTCTGTATACAGCAGGAAATAGGTGTGATATTGTATATCTGTCCTGTTCACTACAAACAATTATGTTTTTGACTTGTCAATCACTACACAGTGAGGAAGGGTGCCATAAAGTGTTTTCCTATGAGCACAGAGAAATATTTTTGATAACTCCAGCAGAACAAACATTGTACAAAACCAGAATAAGAACAACTTTCAATCAGAAACAATTTCCAAGACCAGGACTTTTTCTTTCCTCATTTCAACCAAAATTAAACCTCTTTTTATGAGCTCATTTTATATATATGAACAACCAACCGTTAGGAATTGGAATGAAAATCTGAAAACAAAATGGATTAAAAATCAAAGTGGTCAAAGTTGCCACTCACGCACGACTCCGCCATGTGAACAGATAGTGTACTGCCGACTTGTGGGTGGAACCTGAGTCTCTGTCCGAACTTCACAACCCTCGAAACTGGAATACAAGTCACAATGTTGGTCATAATGATATTCATAATATTGTATCCAGTCATTGTGAATCAATGGAGGTATTTCTGGGAAGTGAGCAAAATGAAATTTTGCATCTGACTAAACATCACCCATTTTAAACTATGTGTAAGTTGTGCCAACTGTCACTTTGTACAGTACTTACGTTATGTCAAGACAGTTCATCGTTTTGTGAGTGAGTGAGTTGGTTCTTACGCTGCTTTTAGCAATATTCCAGCAATAGCAAGGCAAGGGACACCAGAAATGGGCACTGGACCCATGTGGGGAATCGAACTCGGGCCCTTGGCGTGACGAGCTAACACTTTACCCACTGGGCTACCCATCACCCTTCATTTTGTTAGACTGACTGACTGAGTTTGGTTTTAAGCCGCTTTTAGCAATATTCCAGCTACATCACGGCGGGGGAACACCAGAAATGGGCTTCACACATTGTACCCATGTGGGGATTCGAACCCAGGTCTTCAGCGTGACGAGCCAAGCTTTAAACCACTAGGCTACCCCATCGCCCTCATTTTGTTAGAAGAAAGTCTTAAGTATTGACATTTAATAATTAATGCCAAGTCCTTCTTATTTTATTGTTAATGTGACAACACAAGACATATTTAAAAATTGGTTTACAGATGATATTTTCTAAAAGGAAAGGTGGAAAACATGATAAATGACAAAAGCACTTTTTTCTTAATTCCAACGATTTCAAATTTACTTACTTCCAACAAATGGATTTGCAAATTAAAAGACTCAACTCCAAGGCAAGGGTAACAAGTTAAGCAACAAGATAAGCTGAACTTTCACAGCAAATGGGGCTTCCTGTCATGTTGCATGGAAATATTTTTAAAGCATGCCACTGATAGTACAGAAATAGTTCAGTTGCGGGAAAAATCAGTTTAATATGTCTCATGACACTTATTGCTGGAGGCAAGTTGCATATACATAGTGATTTCAGGGATGTCTACAAATTCAATTTCATCCAAGGTCTTATTGTCTAACACCCTTTACTTAAGAATCACATCTTATACTTTCATGCAATACCATTTTGTGTGAAGATTTGAGGGAATATGGTTTTACGCCATTTTCAGCAATATTCTTGTAATATCATGGAGGGAGACACCAGAAGACACCATGTGAAATGGAACCCGGTCTTCACACATTGTACCCATGTTTGGTTTTACGCCACTTTTAGAATCGAAACATCCGGTGGGCTTCACACATTGTACCCATGTGGGTCTTCAGACTGACCAGTGGACACTTTAACCATTAGGCTACCCCACCGCCCCCGTGTGAAGATCTGAGGAACCTGAGCTGAAGTTGATCACCAGATCCTAATAAAGAATGTGTGTCTGCTCACACCAAATGGTGTTGGATATCTTACAGGATACGCTTTCATTTCTTCAAAAACTCAAGTAAGAACGTTACTGAAAGTTTTCATCGTTGCTAGCCAACTGATATCATCTGCTACTGCTACCTGTATCAAAGGATACCAGTCCACAAGTAAATCTCACTAGAGACCATATGATGTCACTAGTACTGCCTGAAAACACACTAAAGTACTGTCGGAAATAGAAAAAAACTGTTTTTAGGCCGTTACTCTGTATCCCTAAATTTGACACAATTGCAAATAGCATATGTCGAAATAACCCACAACGGCCTAACTGAGCGTTCAGTAGGATGCGTAATAGGATATCCAGAAAAGCATGTTTACTCGTAAAATCTGGCAAAACTTAGAAAAAATACAAATAGCTGCTGAAAACAATAGATCAGACTATAGATGGCAATTAGGTCGCTCAGCCAGGTTTGACAACGGACTGTCGACTCACCTGGCATGAAATGCATGTGCTGCATAGAGGCACAAGGGGTCATCTCAAAGACATTTTATGCTTTTTCATGTGCGTTGTATATGTCTCATCTATTGATTAACATCTTACGTGTCTTTCTTTCATAAAGTTTATGTTGAGATATGTAAAAGAGTATGACACCCATAGAAAAGCTTAAATTAGCCATCGTATTAAATGTCTAAAAATATATAGGTGACATGACCAACCGAAGATCGACAGGACTGGATATTATTTGCAAATTGTTATGACATGCCGTTTACTTCCCCAGTTTAATTCCCCTGAAGGATTATCTCTTCTTAGTGGATATCTCTATCCCCTAGCCCGACCCCCACCACCGTCTGCGACACCCATCCTAGTTTTGCTTTTGAGACGACCCTTCCTACCTGTTTCTTTTTATAGTGATAGTGCGGCTCCATGGTAGCTACATCCTTAATAGTTTCAGTCTTAAAGTTATTATTTTTTACGTCAGTTATAGTTTATAATGAAGCTATTTATAATTTCAAAATGGGCATTTTAAAAGTTTCCTTTGTAATACAATATCGTCGCACACTAATTTGCATAAAGCCATGGTCTGTTCCAAATAAGTCGCTTTCGACTTAGAAAAAAAACTGCATTGCTCATTTCTGCACTAATCTCTCCTCAGTAAAGTCCTTTTTCTACATTTCCTATCTCCCTACCACTGAGAATGTAGTTAGGCCGAACTTAGTTTAACAGATATTTCACACTTTCACATATTAACTACATAAATTGTAGATATAAATGCGAAAAAAAAAGTTTTATTCTTTTTCCGACAGTTCTTTAGTGACAAACTTGTAGACTAGTATTGATTTTGAATCCAGAATCCTTGATCACATCAAAAGAACATCACAGAGAATACAAATATACCCTGGACAGTTTGTAGTCTTCTCGGTGCTGAGACCTGTGAAGATCCCGATAAGAATTGGTCTTCAGCAACCCATGCTTGTCATAAGAGGCAATTAATTGGATTGTGTGGTGAGGCTTAATGATTTGGTTGACACATGTCACCATATGCCAGTTGCGTAGATCGATGGTCATGCTGTTGATCACTTGATTGTCTGGTCCAGACTCGTTATTTACAGACCGCTACCATATAGCTGGAATATTGCTGAGTGCGGCGTTAAACAACAAACAAATCTAGTTGTTGACGTCATGACAATCAGAAATAACCAATCATCTACAATAACATTCAGTGAGTGTTTCCGCAAGTGCAGAGTAAATTATTCTCTATTAGAGAGATTACATTTAGTTACGTTTGTTACTCACATATATAACACAGAAACGAAGAGATCACGCACAGGGAAGTTGATGAAGCAGAAAAGGTACCTATGTTGCTGAAGACACAAGGAAGGAAGACAACTCTTGAATTCTGTGTGTTGGAAACCTAACATTGATGCATAGCTTCCTCGTGTCCTGCATTCTACACGTTGGTCAGCATCTTCTTTGTCGAGATACAGAACCATGTCAGTGATTTACCTGGTTTATCTATTTTGGGGGTAATTTAATTGTATTGGTCTCTGATTAAAACATACAAGTCTACAGAATAATGTTGGTTGGTTGGTTTGCATTCAGAATTACTCCAGCAATATGGTGGCAGTCTGTAAATAATCTAGTCTGGATCAGACAATCCAGTGATCAACAGCTTTAGCATCGATCTGCGCAATTGGAATGCAATGACGTGTCAACAAAGTCAGCAAGCCTGACCACCCGGTCGTGTTAGTCACCTCTTACAACAAGCATGGGTAAAAAGGATATGTTACACTTAAACCAGAACTGCTAGCACTAAAGCACAGAAGCTTTTGACAATGCATTGAATCATATAAATTATTATTATATTCTTACATTTATATTATGAAATGGCAACATTTATCCCTGCAGTAGGTATGGGTACAGTCCCCTATTTTGTGTCCAGATGCAGTTATCATGTATGTATAAGACATATGATGTCAAGTCCAGTAAATCTGTATCATTCTATCTAATCTAAAAGTTTGTCTCAAATGGTATCAAAACTGTTCACAAACAAACTTTTTTAACCATAACTAAAAAGACACTACCTTAAAAACATGCTTCATTTTTTGAGTAAAAAAGTCATAATATTTCACAAAAATGTTAGATTGCAGAATTTCATTTTTGAAAGTGAAATATAATGACATCCGTTTCAGTTAGGAACTTTAAGTGTGGAGTGTTCTTGAAACAATGTCATTTCAGAGTTAAATATTAACATTGTCCACATGATGTGTTTTGCATGTTCACAGACCGCCTCCGTGGTGTTGTGGTTAGAGCGTCCGCCCGGAGAGCGGAAGGTCGCGGGTTCGATCCCCAACCGCATCATACCAAAAGACGTTAAAATATGGTACTTGTTGGTCCCTGCCTGGCGCTCGGCATTAATGGGTACAACAAGGACTGGTTGGCTCGGAGTCAGTATAATGTGTCTGAGTGGGGTATTCATGCTTCACTGCGGCATGGTATCTCAGTGGGCTAGCACTATAAAACAAGCTTAAGTCTGGGCTAGTACAAGCAGCCGCACATACACATACACACACATGCACGCTGTCATATGAGCGAAATATTCTCAAGCACGACGTTAAACCCAATTTCACCTCACCTCACCTCACCGCATGTTCACAAATATTGGTGTCAAATGGTTGTACTAAATCTTCTGACAGCCTCTAACAATCAATAAACAGACAATTAACTTTGACTTCACCAGGCAAGTCCAGATTCAAGGGAGATAAGTCTGACTGAACATATTTTACACATATTTTACCAAGGTTTAACTATGTCTGCGTGTGACATTAATGTTCTATGTCCGGTGACAGCTGCAGGAATCAGGACAGACAAGATGATGTAACACACTGTATTGATAAGCTGTTGTCTAAACTGTATCTGAAATCACTGTTGGATACTGAGAGGTAGAAACATTTTGCTATGTGAATAAATGGTGTTACTATTGAATTTTCCGGCTTATCAATGTCTATCTTGACAATCCAATGGCAGTGAATTAAAATTTAGCATGGATATTCATAAAATTGTGTCTGTATATCATAAGCATTATAAATCTATAGATACTTTGAGATACTTAGCTAATGTTGACGGTGCAACTTACTGCAACTTTGAGAGGCATTTTAGAAGTTGTTTAAAGGAAGGAAAACCAAGTTCTATAGACTATGGATAGTCAACTTCTTTATTGCAACAGACCATATAATATAATATGGTCTCTGATAGCAATGAGTGCGACGTTTCGGTGTAGGTACTACCGAACACCGTTATCAAGCGAGTCATCACTTGCTTGATAACGGTGTTAGTACCAGCACCGAAACGTCGCACTCATTGCAATAAAGAAGTTGACTATCCATAGAACTTGGTTTAGCTTCAACTTACTGCAAGTTTATCATGGAATATTGAGAAGTGAAAGTACATTGTGAAAATAATATAGGCCCCTTTAGAACTGTGTCATGCTTAACTTCCGTATGGTCTATGGAGTAAAAGGAACCATAAATAAAACAACTGCCACTGAGTACTTACTGCTTGCTAACGCCGCCGTACTGCCTACTGTTGTTGACGTTTCCTGTGTTACTGAAGTTTGTGAAATAGTCACGTGTGGGGAGGCAGGAAAATAGAGTGATCTCCCTTAGACCATAGGAAATGCCTTTACTGACAGCTAGAAACCTCAGCCACCGAAAGTATGTACTGTGTGGTATCATAACACGATTGTTCGAACCCACTGAACCCCTTCTCTTGATCCGCCAGTGGAATAGATATAAGTTGTATGCTTATTACAGTATGCCGTTTGTCATTGAATAACGAATGAAAACATTTGTTGTGAATGAAAGTCTGTGTAGATTTTAATTTAAACCATAAATCACAAAAACTTCACATATATACTTTACCCGATATACCGGTTCTCAGAAAAAAATATTGCAATACGTATCGTTTGAAAAGCGTATTGCGATATACCGTGCAGTCCTAATGTTTACTCAATGATTTTAAAATATGAATATTATCCGATGACATCAGTCGAATGAAGGCATGACAAAAGAGGCAGAGACGTTCATTAAACGGGGTGTTTGTATGACGGTCTGAAGTTACAGCACTGAAAGTGAATTATTTTACGTTGATTTGGTCGCAGTCCCCTGTTTAAATATGGTCCGACGCTGAGAAGTGATTTGAATTGTGAATAGTATTTACATTTAGATTACGAAAAAGTGATGCATGCCAGGTTCATTGAAAATAATAAAATCTCTGTTTAACATTCCCAGGAATGTGGAGGTACGGCCGATTTCTTGATATACAGTGAAGCCCCGTTAGTCCGGAACCCGATAATCCGGATGTTTCCCTCCCGGACGATTTTAGCTTGTTACCAATCTATGCCTATTTAATTTGCCTCGATACATGTATTCATAAGAAACCAAATCCCTATTGAAATGATATCAAACTTATATGAGAAGCCTATGTTGTTTTACCATTATCATCCAAAGTTTTCATCATTTGATATGATATGATATGATATGATATGATATGATATGATATGATATGATATGATATGATATGATATGATATGATATGATATGATATGATATGATATGATATGATATGATATGATATGATATGATATGATATGATATGATATGATATGACAAGGAAGTCTATTCCGTTGAAGCTGCATCAATCTGCACCAGTACTTGACTGCTCTTGAGATATATTGATTCTGGAGGGGAGCTCTCCCACACTCTCCCAGAACCATGTTGTTATTGGTAGTTTTACTGACTTTAAGAAATGACTTACAACATCTGGTGTGCACAGTTTCAATAATTTTACAGTAGCTTGTTCCCCAAATTTCAGATCCGCAACAGAGGATTAGTGCAATCAGAGAGAATCCATGTTATTTGACAGAGTAAATTGACAGGAGATATACAAGTGAATGTGATCAATTTTCGTTTCGCTTTCATTTTCTTTATAGTGTTCTTTAAGATTTATTGTGTACTAAAGTTAAACTGAGTTAAATATTAGCTACATATACACTCAAGGAAGAGAATTTATGAATGTCTATTTGCAGGTTGTTACAGACATTTTTTCCGTTATAGCGATGCATATTAGCCATAAATGCGTAATGATTACTTTTATGTATGTCATCGACGTAGTCGTTAGAAACATCGACATCATCTTGACGTTGCCATACAAGAGCTATGTCAAGGATGAAACCACACGGTGAACTATTTCACTGAACAATTCGTACTTGGTGACCCGCGCTGTTCTTAAACCGTTATTATCTGACCTCGGACATTAACAAAAGTAACACGTTAAGGACAATTCATATTTGGATGCCTGTACTGCTTTGCAATATCAGTTACGCCGTTCACAATGTAAATTTCCAATCTATAGTTAGAGTCCATATACCCTGGAAACAGCGGGAATCATCATGCCTCGTTTTGATTACCATACAGGTGCGGTTCCCAACATTCCCTCCACGGGGGTGACGTTTATTGGCACGTTACCGTATAGTGAAGATGCATCGTATATAAAGGCATGTCAATGATTGTAGGTGGGCTTTGTTGAGAAGAAGCGTTACAATGGCTGTTCAGATGACATTATGTGTGGTGAGTATTGATAGATCTTTAGTAAAGATAGTCGTCGCATTATAAATATTTAAGGGTAGATTTCCTTTTGTTTCACAGGTGGCTCTACTTAGAGCTAAGTCAACCAACATTCTGTTATTGCTTCTTACTTATAATTCTCATTTAGAAATTATTTTTAATTTTGATTATCAGAATTTAATCTTAATATACTTTTGATTTCATTAGATACTTTCATCCACTTTTATTCTACATATTAACTATAATTTGATTTTTGAATTGTTGACATTATATCCGTGCTCTTTGATCCAGAACTAATGTTAAACTTGTAACTAACTTTTGCAACTTTATTACTTTTTAAGATGTTTGAAACACGGCAAACACTCTCAGAACGTATTTCCTATTAAAGCTGCTACTACTACCACAACTACGACTACTACCACTACTACCAACACCACCACCATCACTACCACTACCACCACCAGTACTACTACTACCACTACTACCACTACCACTACCACCACTACCACCACCACCACCACTACTACTACTACTACTACTACTACTACTACTACTACTACTACTACTACTACTACTACTACTACTACTATACTTGATACATTGATGTTAATCGCATGCGTCTACATCATTCATGTCTAATTTTGTTTTCAATTATATTTCTTTCATGGCTAATTAATTGGCATAAAACTATTTATAAAACAGATATCGGACGCTAGAACTATTGTACGTTTACGTTATATATATGGTTACATTAACTGCACGGAAAAGACAGTTATCTAAACGTTACAAGACTGTTAACAGTCAATGCAAAAGTAAGGTCCCCCAAACGCAGCTATTATACTTGTGTGAAAACAGAATAGCCAAGTTTGTATGGTCATTTTAGTCACCATCAAACATAGTTGTATAGCTTCTATTGTCCGGACCCGTGAACATGCGGGTTAGAATCGATCTTCAGCAACCCATGCTTGTCGTAAGAGGCGACTAACGGGATCGGGCGGTCAGGCTCGCTGACTTGGCTGACACATGCCATCGTATCCAAGTTGCGTAGATCGATGCTCATGCTGTTGATCACTGGATTGTCTGGTCCAGACTCGATTACTAGTATTTACAGACTGCCGCCGTATAGCTGGAATATTGCTGAGTGCGGCGTAAAATTAAATTCACTCACTCACTCTATTGCCCGGCGGTCAAGACCCATAACCCATCTTAACAATACTGCAGTGCCGAAGCTGAAAACAGTAAATGATATGCCCATAGGGTCTTGTAACGCTTAAAACTGCCATCCAGGTATATACTGTCACTGACGGGGTCCTTTTATATAGTACTAAAACCCCGTCAGTCACTATATTCCTTGATGGCAGATTTTAGCGTTACAAGCCCCTGTGGATATGCCTGTTGAAGGCGTCATGGCATACCCACGAACTAGTTTCATAAGTGAGAGTATTGGTATATTAAGATATGCGATATGCGACTTTTATATTTTTATCACTAATCCAGATCCCAACACGTTTTCTCTTTACGTCTCAGTTACAAATCATACGGTTCGAGATTCGTAAAATGGTAAACATACGTGGATATAACTTCTTGGGTTTTGTAAAAGAAATGGGTTTAAACTCATAATGGCAATATATCATTTAAACAATCATTGATGGTGATATTGTGAATTCTAATCAATGTAACTTTATAAACTTAAACGTGCATGCCTTACCACAAAATTATTCATGTCAAAATATGACCTTTTTAATGTACGGAGCAGAATCTTTGGCTTTCATTTTCACTAAAAAACCCGTGTCCATGACAATTAACGTAAAGCAGACCCGTGAAGGTCCGGTTATACAGGGGTGGAAATAACCCATTGACCGACGTCCGAGTCCAGTGGGTTTTTTCGTCGGGCACATTTGTACATCACGCTGTACCGGTGTCCAGTTGACATTCCAATGTTAATTATATTGTTTATTTTAAAAATCACAGAGAAAATCAGCCTTTATAGCGGAAAATTTTTCAGGACAAGTGATTTTACATGTGGCACTGTACAGGAGTACACTAGCAATTTTAAAGATATTTCCACCCCTGCGGCCCTGCGGGTAGGAATGAGCCTTCAGTAACCCATGCTTGTCGTAAGAGGCGACTAACGGGATCGGGTGGTCAGGCTCGCTCGCTTGGTTTACACATGTCATCGGTTCTCAATTGCGTAGATCGATGCTCATGCTGTTGATCACTGGATTGTCTGGTCCATACTCGATTATTACCAGACCGCCGCCATATAGCTGGAATATTGCTGAGTGCGGCGTAAAACTAAACTCACTCACTCACTAATATAAAGCAATCCTTCACTCAGGTTGGCTTGATTGATGGATTGTTGTTTAACGCTGCGCTCAGCAATATGGCGGCGGTCTGTATCGCCCCTGACAACCAAACGTGGATTGAAAATATTTCTTAATTACACAAAATTAGATTTATAAAACGGGATTATTAGATAATTATTAAAATATCTATGGCGTAAATATCAAGGCTCTAATCATAATCTCATGATGAAGACAGAAACAACTTAATTAAACATTGCTCGAAATGAAACATCATCCTCATTTTGCTTAAGAATTTCATTATTGCCTGATATGTCCATTTTACTGTGACCTTGGAAAAATCTTTCTCCCACAATGTTTCACAAATTTAAACACCTTTTTATGGGACCCATAAACAGTCATTTGTTTAGCAAAGTTTGTGAAGCTATGAAGAAACGCACCCAGTTCTTTCACTTGAAACATTACTACTCGGGTCTCCTAATCTGTATCATGTATTACTGTTGTATAATAGGCCGGTGGATCTTTACTGGAAATGTGTAAACTCGTTAAAGTGTAACCTGCGAATTAGTAAATTTGTTTCAATAAGATAATGTATACATGTACATGTCACTTTCTGAGACAGGCAGTGAGGCAAGGGCACAGCAGACCCAACTAAACATGTACTCTTAAAAAGCAGCGGAACCTAAAATTTCAATTTGGATATGTAGTATAAGCGTTAACACACTTTTCAAAGACAGACATCTTATTATCACCATTT